GGACCCCAGTCTGGCCTGCCTGCCCCCAAAAAGATGTTTTTGCACTGGTTCACTGAATATACGATGCAGAGGCCTGAGTGAAGACCCGTGAATGGAGCGTGTGGGCATCAGTTCCCAGCTGGGGGGCAGGTGCCCCCCAGGCCCCCATCCTCCAGCAGGTGTGTGCGAGTGTGTCCATGCCATGAGTGTCTCGGTCTGTCCTTCCTAACTTGTACATAGCCCCGAGTCGGTTCTGAGTGGATGACGTGCAGCTGAGACTTCTCAGGTCATTTGTATGTTTGACGTTATGGCTGCTGTTTTTGCTGCCACTACCCCCAGGCCCAGCCTGGCTGAAAGTCGAGGTTTTAAGCCAAAAAAGATGGGGCTTTCCTGTGTCCTGGAATGGGGAGTCAGAGCTCTGTGGCAGGGCTGGAGGGTTGGGGTGCACTTTAGTTTCGTGGCTGTACTCCAGGGTGAGGGTGAGGGGCTGGCAGTGGCGTTCCCAGGGCACCCGTGCACCCGCCCTTGCCTGTCTGCCCTTGGGTCCAGCAGGAGGCGCTGCCGCGGGCTCTGACAGGCCTCTCTACTCCGGCACCCCAGGTGGGGATAACCTTGGGGGCTAGTCTGAATGTATCTTTCTCCCCGTTTTAACCTGAGCTGCCTAACGCACAGTGGGGTGGGGTGGGGTGGGTGGGGGGCTGGGGGACCAGGCCAAGTCATGGATCTGGGGGAAGGTTACCAGATACAGGAGCGATTGTCACCTCTTTGTGGAGCCCGGCTCCCTGCCTGGTCCTGGCCCCACATGCACCTTCTATGGAGAGTAGCTCTGGGGGTAGCAGGCGGGTCCCAGAGGCCCCGGCGCTCCCTCTCCCCGCCTGCCTGTGCCGCTTCTCTGGCTTCTCTGTGCCTGCTGTCAGAGCCTGGGGGAGGGGGTCACACCCGGGAGCTGCGGGAGCCGTGTCTGGCGGCCGGCCCGGGTCTGTCCAGACACCTTGTTTCAAAGGGAGTGGGCGTGAGCTAGCAAGCATCCCCACAGCTGATCAAGAACTTTTTCTTGTTTTTAAACCATCACGTCTTCATTTCACATTGGAATAAAGTGAGTTTTTGAAACCTGCTGCCCAGCCTCACCTGTGTGTTCTGTACCCTAGTCTCGTTTGACTGCAAGCGCTGTTGTCAGAAATGTTCCTGGGAGGCGAGTATGTATAAATTAGGTCAAATTCAAGATTATGCTTATTACGTCACTGAAGTAGGTGGAGTCATGAGCACTCAGCTGGGGTTTGCCCGGCTGCCAGTCACTAGGCTCGTGGGCCTGTGACAGAGATGAACCTCGCCTGTCATTGGTGACAGGAGAAAAAAGGCTGGAGTGAAGGCTCACTGGGGAGGGGCGCTAGGCCGCTGGATCTGCCAGGTCACTGAGCACCCAATGGGGCACCTCAGGCCAAGTGTCCCTTCACTTGGGGCAGGAGGGTGGGGCACCAGAAGGTGCGCAGTGCTGGGGGCATGGAGGAGTAGTTGAAATTCGTTGTCCTAGTGGCGTCAGTGTTAGCTAGATCCTTGGAGAGGTGAGATGCAAGGAAGGAGAGCCCAGCTAGGTGGACTTGAGGAGCAGAGCCTGTGACGTGAGGGGACCTCGCTCTCGGGAGAGGGGAGTTGAAGTCTCATTACAGCTGGTGGCTGCTGCCCAGCCATCCCTCTCCAGAGCAGGCAGGCCCTCGGCCTCATGCAGAATCGAATGCCTTTTGGAATTTGGGGAAAGTTCTTTGTGTCTTGGAAATTCTGAAAAAGAAAATTCCACCCTAATAATCTCTTAGCCAACTGGAATAAATGTCCATGACCTCACGGTTTTAAGTGACACCCAAATCAACACCGAGCCTGGTGAAGCCTGGTGCGTGCCCACCAGCAGCCTCCTTCCCGGCCTCACAGTAACCACCGGGCCTTGCTCCCCTGACCAGGGGTCATGGTTTCACCACACTTCTCCAAATGCGGGCACATTTTAAAGCTCAGAAGGGGTTGGGTTTAATTATTACCATTGTGCCTACTTGTCACCTGAGAGGCCCAGGGCTGTTTTTCCTAGTTGATCCCTTAAGCACATTAGTGCTGTCAGACACCTTTTGACAACCCAAATGACAAGGGGCTGTTGTTTTATAAAGGAAATAGAGGCTGTAGGTCTGAAATCCACCCCTTCTCCTTCCCTTCTCTTAGGTGACAGGTTTCAGTTTTTTAAAAGAAGAGTAAACAGTGGCATCCAGGCAGGTTTCGTGTGGGAACTGGCACGTGGTAGGCCGTGGCCTCAGTGTGGACCAGCAGCTCTTCAAGATGGAAAACGGAGTCTCACCAAGTTGTGTGAGCCACACCAGCCTCTCCATACCCTCTGCTCTGGTCTTCCACTGACCACTTTTTTCTTCTGTTTGGATTTCTTTTTAACATGCATTTTTTTATACATATATATATAAAATAAATTTATATATATATGTAATTTTATTTAAAGACACGGTCTTGCTCTGTCTCAAAGGCTATAGTGCAGTGGCACAATCATAGCTCACTGCAGCCTCAGACTCCTAGGGTCACACAATCCTGCCTTAGCCTTCCAAGTAGCTGGGACTACAGGCACATGCCACCACACCCACCTGGCTAATTTCTTTTTTTAAAAATGGAGATGGGTTCTTGCCATGTTGCCCAGGCTGGTCTTGAACTCCCAGCCTCAAGTGATCTTGTTGCGTCAGCCTCCCAAAATGCTAGGATTATAGGTCTGAGCCCCTGCACCTGGTCCTATTTTTGTAATGTAAAAAAATATCTTAAAAGAACTGTTACAACCAAATTAAACTTTTAAGGTTGTGTCATCTGCATCTACTTCTGCCTTGTTACCTGAGTACTGAGAGAACTGTTGGACTTAATTGAGGAATTCCTATACGTCCTGCAGCTCAGACTAAGGTATCCTGACGTGGCCCAAGTGTTTCCTCACCCCTACCTTCAGTGTCCAAGCTACCAAATCAAACCAGGACACCTACAGAGGACAGGTGGCTTTTCCACAAGTGGAAAGTGAAACACCGCCATTAATGGGAGTAATCCATTGATTTTAAGAGAGAAATCAGACGCAGATGCAGACCATGCAGGACACAATTACCCCGAGAATAGTCACTTCACATAGAACGATTGAGGAGCCTACGATAAGCAAGTTTGGGCAACATAGTTCTTGCTTATCCTTCGTACCCCCATTCCTAATGGCCATCTCACAATGGTCAGCAGTGGGGTACAACGTGGTGACAGGGCTCAGGGATGGGATGAGGGTCTTTCCTGCATTATTAAAGCGGCTGAAAAGTTTTTGAAGTGTCCAAATGTCCTCCTTCTTAGCTTAAATAGCTAGTAAGATATGTTACACATGCAGAAACAGGTCAGGGAAAGACCGAGTCCCAGCTCACCCCTTAATCAGCTACAACTCCCTTGACACGGGACCCCCAGCTCACATGAACCTCAGTTTTCCTATCCGTTAACACACACTAGCACCCACCAGCGGGCTCTGTGAGAAAGGGTCAGGTCTCTTCCCTCGGCTAGTCCCTCTACCTCCGCGGGGCGCCAGGAGACTTTAGGAATTACCCACCGCAGGAAACACACAGAGAAACAAACTCCGTGTGTCAAGTGAAGGTGAAAGAGCAAAGAGCTCAAACCCCAGCTGTGGGGCCCGGGACCAGTGCCCGGATTTCTCTGGTGAGAAGCTGAATCACTTAGATCAGTGGTTCTCAGACTTGAGCCCGCAATATCATCTGGAGGGCTTGTTAAAAGCGCTAAGTAAATAGGCTCCACCCTGTTTCAGATTCAGTATGTCTGAGCTGGGGCCCCACAATTTGTTTTTTTCCTTCAAGATCCTTAACTTAATACAATTTGCATTTCTAAAGAGCTCCCAGGTGATGCTGTCGCTGCTGATAGGGGAACACTTTTGGGATTGCTGTCCTAGAGGATTCTGGTATCTCAGCAGTTGAGAAATGTGTCTGCACACAAGTGAGGTTGTTCACCAAAGACCAAGCAGAGACACACCTGCCACATCTAAGATGCAGCGCTTCCCCCCAACTCATGGCTTCTACCTTTCTGCCCCTCACCCAGCCTCAAAGGACAGACATGGCTATGAATCTTGGAAGGAGGCTTGATGTGAGACACCCAACACTGAGTTATTCAACAGGCTTTGAACAGTCAGCAGTATTTCAGAATAGTGACACTAAAGCTAGAACTCTACCCCCTCGGGAAAAGTGGTCAGGCCCCCTGACCTGGAGGTCAGCCTAGGGGAACGGGGTGGAAAAAAGAGGAACATGCAAGGAAATAGAAAAGCTGCAAAATGCAGGAAACCTAACTTCAGGCAAATTACTTTGTTGCTCTGGGCCCTGGGCTCTAAGAAAAGAGCCAGTGCATGATTCAACATCTGTGCTTTGTACAGGAAAGCAGCCTGAGGACTTCATGGGTATCCTGAAGACACCAAGGACACTAGCTGACCAGCAGCCTACGGAGAACAGGCAGGACACAGCCAACATGCGTAAAACACACAGAGAGCCCTGGGACAAGCATGAAGACTTATTTTAGTATGTTTCAAACAAAACTGAAAACAATATTAAGGATCTTCATGAATCCAAGACCACCAAGCAGGCTGAGGCTTACTCATGAAAAGCACAAAGGGCTCTGAAACCAATAGAGGGCCAGTTCTTTGCAAAGGGGGCTGACACACCATTCCTGGCTTCAGCTACAGGCACTGTGTCAGAATGAAATGGGCTACTGAAGGGCTGTAGCTGCCGGAGCCGTCTGCTCTGCACAAGCGCGCCACGCAGGAGTCTCTGCTGCGGTGCTCCTCACTCCAAACGGGGCAAGGGAGACAGGAAGGCCAGCGCTGGCGCCGCCCTAAAGAAAACCTCCTATCAAGGCCCAGCTACCCTGTGACCAATTTGTGTCTTACTCTTTTTATGACTGGAGCTACATGCACCCCACTTCCTACCAGGATTTCATCTGTGCACAAGACGACCAAAAGAAAAAATCACATCTAGTTTTATAGGCATTTAATAGTTTACCAATTGGTACAATAAGATTTTTTAATATGCAGAAAACATGAATAAATTTTGTTTTACACAGTCTGAGCAACAAATCTTACTGTAAAACACAAGAGCAATATTATATACATTCCTTTACTGATTTTTTAAAATTGTGTCAATATCTTCAGTTAACTCTTACAATCTGGGGAACTGTTTTCTCAATTACCACCTCTGCAACGTTTATATGAAATCAATGCTTGCCTTCATGTCAGTGTCAGGATCAACTTCTAACTCCAAGATTTCTGTGTTTCTAACATCTTCAGAGTGAGCTTTAGGGATGCCTGAAGGATAGGCAGGACAAGAAAGCAGCTACTCCCATGATATAGTGGAAAGATAAAAAGGCCCGTTCAGTTCAGTCGAGACTTGTAAATCCAATTTGCCCCCCGCCCCCCCACTGGAAAAAAAACCCCAAACCTTTTTCCCACCAATTTTGTACATGTCGCTTCTCTACCAGGAGATTCTTCTTTGCGTCATCTCAATTAATTAACACATTGGACTTACATACAGCTGGACAGAAAGAGTAACCATTTTAAGTGCCTTTTCCTTCAACAATTTTAACCTCAGTTGCTTAAGGATTATCAAACCACCACTGTCAACAAACAAAATATCCTTTACTTTTAAATAGTTTTTCTTTAAATAAACTTAAAAAAAACTATTTAATGAGTAATATTATTGGGAAGTTCACACAGAAAACAGAAAGAGGAAAACAGGAGAGCAGGGCACCGACAGTAAGGAGACTGGGCCTGGTGACTCTGGAGCCAAAGCTTCCAAAGACTACAGGGAGCGCCTCCGGCCCTGGATGACTTGCTAACACTAGTGATTTGTAGAGCAGTGCTCCGGGCACACCACTGGTCACACCACACACAGACACAACAGGACGGTCTTAGTCTCCTAAAGTGCAAGATGCCATGGCAACAAGCAACTAGTCTCCAAGCGATGTCTACACCACAGTTTCCACGGCTTGCACTCTCAAAGAGTGCAGCTGGAATTTCTTGGGCACATTGTATTAGGGTGGCACTGGAATGTCTTCTCACACACACACAAAGTCAATAATCATCTGAGGATGCAATTCTACCAGCTTTTTATTTCTTAAATAAGTGGCCAATTTGATTGAGAAAGTGACAAAGCAGCAATGAACCTCTAAACCAATCAATAAAGTCCTCTACTTACAATCCAAACCAGTAACCTCATCATTGTCCTTATCCCAGGCAAGGCACAGGGTTAGACAGCAGACAGAGAAAACAGAGAACACAGAGTCAGAAAGGGCATCAACAGGGCAGTGTCAGACAACAGTGCAGGAAACCTTTGCAAATCTGCTTCCAGATTGTAGATGGATTGCTCTCCCCACCCCCTTCATTATTCAAACAGGGCTCATGACATTTGGATCCAGTTGTGGACCATCCCTGAGATTCAATGTTCGCTGCTTCTTAAATGGAGGATGTCTGGTAACTCAACTCAGCAGCAGGCTGTGGCAATCTCCCAAGTAAGGATAACTTTGTTTACAGAGCAATTGTCTCTCCTCCTCTGTCAACGAAAGTCACTGTATGCTGCAGGGGAAGAAATCGTTTCCTCCTACATCAGTACCATTTTTCCTTTATTGTTCATATCTATGAGTGATTTCTAGATGTTGTGGCTTACCCTTAAACAATTCATGCTAAAAATGAATTAAAATACAAGACATTTATACATGTACAAACAAATGTTAAGATGCACCATTTCTATGTATTTATATTTCTCAAAATAGGACAGGAAATAGCAGCAAACAAGAACAAAGATATTTTCCATAGTTTCTGTAGAAAAATCCAGTCAGAAGAAGGGGAAAAAAGACTTCTCGATTTAAGCAGGGCTGTGAGGCAATAATGTCCTGAAAGTTTAATCTACTGTATTTAAGGAATTAGCTTAAGATGTAATTTTTGTCCTCAAAAATAGCCATTAGTTCTCAAAAACACTTTCCCTTCCAGAGACCTCTCTCAGGAAATATTAAAAACAAACAAGCAAACAAACAAAAAGACACAAGCTAGACATAAAGCTGCTTCTCATTAATACATGGCCTAGTCTCTGTGTGTCTATCTACAGGACGTTAACTCTCACCCTTTGTCTTTTTCAGGAACCAAATTTCCGTTAAATACTAAAAGGGACATTTAAAAAATCACATATTACACAAATGAATAAAATGAAATTCAGAATAAATTTCTTTTGTTAAACTGTCACTGTTAATTTAATTGTTCTGTTAACTTTCAAACAACTTTCTTTAAAAAACACGTTGGTTAGCTAAGCAATGGAATTCTTTATTAATATTGACAATGGAATGAAGAGTGTTCCAAACGTCATGGATAAAAATTCTCTTACACCTACTTGTAATAACTTTGGATCAAAATATACAATATATCTGGGATGTGTAAAATGCTGAACGGCCAAATTAGAGGGGGGAAATAACAAAAGTGATTTTCCTTCAGCTGGAAAAAATCCCCACAGAGTCAGACGTAGTTTTCAGAAGAATTAGGATCAAAAAGGGTTTGTTCTGAAGCATGGCATTCCACAGTGAGATTTATTCTACTTGTCTGTTTTAGCACTTCTTCGAAACCCCAGGACCAAGGACATGGAGGTTGATGTGTGTGATATACACATACAGACTTATCCGCTTACAGATAGGCCCATATACTTATAAACATTTATATATAAACCAAAGGTGAAAACACAGTACATTTTTATGCACGTTCCGTTAAACCCTGTCATTTTATAAACTTTTAAGTAAAACACAGTTCAAATTGATATCAGATTCATGTTGAAAAACAAACTGCTGTATCTCTCCCACTCCTTTAAAATGGGCAAACATAACCTTTTCAGTATTTCTCTGTCATTGTAATGCACATTGCACATCCCTAAAAAACATCAGAAACAAATAGTGATTTGTACCATGACACACTCAATGGAAAGATTAAATTCTACTTGGAAGTCACATCACTATACACTCTAATAATATGGAGAATACAACTAGAAGTATGTCTAGTGTGGAAAATAGAAGCTTAGAGTATGACAGTGTTTTTTAACCTGTTTACAAAGCATTAAGACCCAAATGAAATAAACACATTGCTATTAGCTGCTGATTTTTCTTATTTGAGATTTACAGTCATTTTCTTACATAAATATACCACTAGCCTTTGCTTGATAGGCTGCCAAAACAAATGAATTCTACTAATTTGGCAAATGTGTCATGACAAAAATTCCAATGTGTAATCCCCATTAATTACATAGATGGTTCAGAAGATTTTGAATTGTAGCCTTATTATCTAACATCCTTAAAGAAGATTTATTAAGCACACTTAAGTGATGTTACATAGATATACATTTCAGAAAAAGCCCTAATAACCACCACTTTTCCCCAAATGAGGCCATCAAGTCAGGCACCAACAGATAGCAGAAAGAAAAACAGGAATTAATAATCCAACATAAAATGACACTGTCAAATATTCAGTTTAGTGCCCTAGTTCAATTTTTTTCAACTTCTGCCTTCTTAGGCCTGGTGTGACCAATGCCAGCCCAGGTTTTTAAACCCTATGGTACTTCTAGACAACGTATGTAAATTTACAGTATACAATTTGGATTCACCATGCATGAATACTTTGTGTGTAACATTTAATAAGCTCAATCTACATCCAGAATAATTTACATGAAAGGACAATATTTATTTAAACAGAGCTCAATGGGGTAACCATGGTATCATCAGAGCGCATCCAGAGGAAAGAAGGGAGGAGGGGCCAAGTGAGACTCAATCAACGGCACTCCCACACCTTTACTGTTTGGTCGACACTGCCAGTAACCACATAGGGTGCCGTTTTGTGGAAATCTGAAAGAAAATGAAAAGGCTTATTTTAAAATCATATTGAGCCAGAAACAATTTTTAATAAGCAAGTTGAAGAGCCAGCATATCCATGTTTCTCTAACATACCCACAGCCCCAGAAAATATCTAGTTTACCAACTGCGCTAGGGAAGCTGAGATTCGATGATTAAACCCTGTATTAACATCTCAGTGAAAATGCCCACTCCCACTTGTCTCATCCCAAATGGGGCTCAAATCTAACAAGAAGGATAATCTCAGCATATCTATTTATTGAACATGATGTTCCAGGCAGAGCACAAATGCTTTATATTCATACTTAATCTCTGAAACAATCCTGTGAGGTAGGTAGGCATCAGTGTATTATATTTTGCTGTATTCACTATCTTAAATTCTACAGTCAAGTCCAGATGATTCTCAGGATGTTTATTAAACTTAAATACAATTCCCTGAGTTTCTAGTACATGATAGTGTATACTTGTCAGAGGGAAAGGTTGAGTAAGATTTCTTTTGAGAAACTTACAAACTAGTAGGGGAGAAAAATTACCCGTCCGAGTGGTCAGTTAAGTATCCTCTTCACAATTTTAATTTCCAAAACCAATATTGTGCAATGGAGAAAGTAATTTTTTTATTATAAGGCTAATGATAGAGAGTTAAGGAAAGGAAAATTTAAAACAAATGGTAGGAATCCACAAAATTTTAACCTGTCTTCTCTGTTCTGCCCTGAAAGCACACGGTTATTTCTTACCGGCAAAGTCCACATGGTTACGTAAAACTTTGCTGTATGTGGCACTCCAAAATCTAATGTTCAGAAACTGCATAACTCATACATACCCAAGGAGGTAACAAAGTGTTCATGCGCATTGAGAGTCTTCATGCATCGCTTGTTCTTGTAATCCCATACACGTAGGGTCTTGTCATCAGCACAACTCAAAATAAACTTCCCCCCAGAATGGAACAGAACTCCACGTACCCAGTTATCATGACCCACCTTAAAAACAAGAAGGTATTTGACTCAGTAAAAAGCAAAAATGTTTAAATACCACCTATGAAATAATACATGATTACATTAAAACAATATACACCAAAACCACCAAAGGACAAAAATAAATAAAAAGTCTAGGGAATTCTTCTAGATTAAAGGAAACAGGAAACTAACGAGACATGATCAATAAATGAAAGGTGTGAGCCCTGACTGTATCCTGGACAGAGCTTAAAAAAGAAGTTATAAAGGACATTACTGAGATAACTGGAGAAAACATGAATATGTAGCATTATCAATGTTAAGTTTCTTGAGGATGACTAACTTCACTGTGGTTTTATACTCTTGTTCTTAGGAGATACATACTAAAATATCTGGGGTAACATGTCACATGATCTCTACCAGGAATTCTCAAATGGTTCAGCAAAATGTACACACACAAATACACACACAAGAATTAACAACTGGTGACTAGGTGAAGGATATACTGGCATTCACTATATATTATCTATCCAACCATCATCTATATATCCTCTGTCCCAGCAACTCTGTTTCTTGAAATTAACCAGAGATTTAGTTGACAAAAGTTTGTTACAAAGCAATATACATGGTATGGTATTTTTATAAAAAATACCACATTCACCTATATATTAAGAAAAAGTTTTAGAATTGCTCAGTCCAACAGGGTAGCACTGGTCACATGTGCCTATTTAAATATATACTAATTAAAATTAAACACAAATTATCAATTAAGTTCTTCAATCTCACTAGTCACATTTCACAAGCTCAACAGCTGCATGTGGCTAGCAGCTCCCATGTTGGACGGTGTAGATACAGAACATCACTGCAGATGGTTATACTGGATAGCTCTAGTCTAGATAAATACAACTGGAAGGCATTATTAGATACGGCAGAGTGATCTGAGGGTGATTTTCATTTTCTTCCTTTAGCTTTTCCATATATTTCTAAATTTTTCTGCAATGGAAAAGATTATATATTACTTTTGTAAAAAGAATA